AAACACAGGAAAGTCGACCTGATAAAATGCCAAAACACGGAATGCCTGACTGGTCATAAAAACTACTCCCAGGAAGTGATAATTTATAGTCAACTAGAGGCAATGTCGTAGCCATGTAGCGACAAGAACAAGATATTTCTCATAAAATGAGACTACTTAAGACCAGTCATCAATCGATAGCAAACAAGCAGATTTCTGCAGATTAATAATTAAAACTAATGTGTACCCATCCAACCACCCCATCCCCATTCCCTTCCAAATACATGGTTGTACAGAACAATATGTTATGATAATGTTAATTATTTAATTTCATTGCAACTACTCTAATGTAACCGAATGGTACCTAGATTTATTATTCAAAAACAAAATTGAATGTCAAATGAAACCAAAATTGAATTTCAAATTTATTTTAGTACATTGAAATATTATTTGTTATGTGCGTAATGGTTTTACAACTGATAAAATTCTTCGAGAAAGGAGTGATTGATTGCTATGATCAAGTCATAGTTTAGAACTCTTTTTCAGGTGAAATAGCATTTGCATTTGTTTACGGCGAGTGCACTGGTGTGAAAGATATGTTCACATTTTTACAGCTAGTTTGCCAAATAGAATAGGCCCGAAGACTGTTTATTCTCTTCCATTGATTTATATATTCATTGCTTAACACAAGACGAAACCCTACAACATTAATTCGTATACTAAAACTTCAGCACAGACTTATGTGAGTTCAACCGAAACGGGAATAAATTATCAAACAGTTACAATGAGGAAAGTAGACCATGATCATCTGACCACTGATCGTCGCCATGGAATAGCCAATTCCGGACCTGGAATTCGATCTCGCACATACGTTCGATACCAATTATCTCACACGTGTTTCTCACCCTCAGAAGTACACAGACTGTTTATGTCACGGTTCCATTTGGTGCTACGCCTAATCTTCTAGAATCTGTTGCAGGTGGTTGAGCACAATTCTGATGCTGTACAATGTAGAAGATGGCGTAACAAATGAAACAGAGCCCAAGGACTGCAATTACAACACAGATCACCACACACACTATACATCTCACTGGGCGTCTTTTAGTCGTAGAATCAGTTGCTGTCTCGCCACCGGCTGCTGCTGAAGAATGAACGGGATGACGATTTGAATTCCGTCTGGAGTGTTTAGGAGAAATTACCGACGTTGCCGAGGTAATTTCAGTATCAGAACTGTTTTGCGAAAACGACATAGATTTTACACTTTGCAGTCCCTTCCGATTTATCTTATTTTGACCTCTTCGAATGTTTGGTGACACAAAGTTATTTCTCATGATGTTTCTGTACAAATTTCGAGTATACACCTGTTTCACAGCTGATCGTGGTATAACGTGTTTTTGACTGGGGTACACAATGGTATCAGACAAGCACCTAGGCCCATTTGCTGAATGTAATTCCTCAGTAATGTCAAGATATTGGGTTTCTCTCATTACCCTGGGTGATCGAAGCAGTCTTTCTCTCAAGTCATCAAGCCATTTCCCTCCTTTGGCCACGATGGTAGGAAAACCCCTGTGTAGAGCATGTTGACAATGTTCTGTTTGTAAGTAAATCACATTCATAATTCTTCTGTACACGGCATTGGAAACAGCGACGTTGTGGCTATGTATACATGTTTTACTTTCAGGGTTTGTCCATATTATCAATGACCACGTTGACCGTGACATCAAACCGTCTCTTTGCTCGAATTCCAAACCTCCGTCTTCACCTTGTGCAATGTAATCCAAGCATTTGATTCCAGACTTCGACAACCGTGCCTTTACCTTTGACGCCAATGATATCCCATGGCTGCAATCCTCGTCATATATAATGTTAACACTGATTTTATTGGGTCTTCTTTCCATTGCAAGGCAGTTCCACTATTTCATGGTTAGTTTTGAAATCCTTTCGTGCAATAGATACTATTACTGCCTTATTGGCAGCCCTACTACCAATAAACATGCGGTTCAAGTGCTCGGGGACAAGTGCCTGTTAATTAGAAATACATCTCATGACGAAATTACTTCCCGGTATAGTATCTGGCTTTCACATAGGTCTAAAATTTAAGAATGTTTCCACATTGTTGGAAAGGGTTCTGCTCTGATTCCTATTCCACAGAGGAGATCGTGTACTGGCCTCTCGCTTTACGTGTGCGTGTGTTCATGTCTTCATGATTCCAGACCTTGACAACCGTGCCTTCACCCTTGATGCCAACGATATCCCATGTCTGCAATCCTCGTCATAGATCACGCTAACACTGATGTTCTTGGGCCGTTTCCATTGCAAGGCAATGCCACTGGTCAATGCATTATTTTCAAATACTTTCCTTGCAGTAAATACTATCTATACGTTAAATGCCTTTCAAATGGCCGGGGACAAAGGGCTGTTTGAAGTATATCATCTTATGGGAACCTTACTTCCTGATATAATATGTCTTTGTTCTGGTTACAAAGGAAATAACAATTGGCAATTCTCATGTCTAAACGTTAAGAATGTTTCCATATTGTTCAAAAGGTTCTGCACTGTTTAATCTTCCATGTGGAAGATCTAATGTCTCGTTTTGCGTGCATGTGTTCATGCCTAACTTTCCGACGGATACTTTTCGCAGTTTCTTTTAGGCTACACCTATATTTCAAGGTATGTAAGCATAGCGTCTAGCTTTCACATTTTGATAAAAAAACAACCCATAGAGAATACAGTTGGATAAAGATGAAGAGGGGGCCCAAGCGTTCGAAATATCCCCCCGGCCCGGAGTCCCAGCGCCGGTTGTTCTTGTATCTGGCCGGCAGTTTCAAATATTTGCAGGCCTTTGTGGCCTTCAGTAAAATATCTGTCAGGAGATTTTTCGACTGGAATCTTTCCCATATATTTTCCTTTATTTACGTTCGGGAATCCATGATGCATCATGTTACAACAACTTACAGATTCACTTCCTGGTATTTCAGCGCGTTACGCGTAGGAATGTCAACATCAGTCTTTAACGAATAAAACCTCTGTGTGCCATAGGCTTTGCCAACTGATTTTGTAGGAACAGTGTGAAACTGGGTACAATGTAGTTAGCTTGTTTTTATTGGTTTGACTTTTAAAAACGGCCCTGAAGATTTCATTCAGGGCCTGTAGATTTTAAAGCCTGCAAGCGGGAGCAGGCCCTGGTAGCCAACTGGCAAATCTAAGTATTGCAAACACTGAGAGGGGCATCAATTTTGCCAGTATGCATCTTTTAACCGTTGTGTAACTAGAGGAGTACTTTCAAAGTTCGGGACAAAATATACTAACAGTGGTGTTTAATGTATACATGACCAAGTTTAACTTATTTAATAAAAGCAGAAATACAGAAATATTCACGATGTAACTAAGGAAGAATGGCAATATATCAACCTACATTTCGGCTCAATCTGATTTTCTTATGAATACTTATGGCAGTACTTACATTAATAACTGAAAGAATCTAAAAGAAATAAACTTTGTCAGTAGTTTTAATGGAATTCAGTATACAATCGGACAATTGAGTACTCCTTTTAGTTGCATTTTCTTATGATTATTTATTTTTGTACTGTTTCTATTTGATGATGACAAATATTCAGGCAAATATAGCAAAATACCATGAATAGAACGAACCCGCTTATAACGAACTGACGGATGTTACGAACTATTGTTTAATCTCGACCACCTGCAGTACATTTCAGTCGAAATAACTGTGGTTATATCGAACTAAAATCAGTTAGTTATAACTCTTGTTTAATTAAGTAAACTGGTGTCATAATTTTAATAAAAATCGAAACATATTTGCCGAACTTTCTGTCTTACGAACTAACCTAATACTCTATTTTTCTAAAACTAATGTGTCATTTAATGTTGTGAGTGTCATCTAATGTCAAAAAAAATATATATATATAATATCTAAATTTTCAAAATACCATAAATATATGTAAATGTAACATTTCAGAATAAAGAAATAGATCAGATGCAGATAAAGAGATGTGTCAGTTTTACCAGTGAGGTCTAATATATATAATATCTAAACTCCAAACTACCATAAATATGTTGATCTAATATGGCCATGACTCAACGGATCAACCAAAGTCGTATGAAAAATCGAAAACTTCTTAACCTCTATGGGGTTGATGTTGCTGCTTATGCTGCCCAATACCTGTGGCAAATAGATTGATGGCTTTTCATAAAATGAAAACGGCCTTCTGTGCCTTTGTTTTCAATTTCATGTACGTTCATTTCGGATGGAAAACTCTAGCGATGACACAAGGAGTATTCGAACCGTTAAAACCTAAAAGAATGCCAGACAGATCATTAAAAAACATACTGGTCACTAGTGAAACAGTCGGCTGGTAAAGTTTATCATCATTCTAGGACTTGTCAGCATTACTCGAAATGAGAAAGGTTTCATGATTTGCTCCTGCCACTCAGCAATATTCCATCAATACAGTGGCGGTCTGTAAATAATCCAATCTGGACCAGATAATTAGGGCTGGGTATTGCAGAAAATTTTCATACTGCAATATATTGTGATGCAAAAGCATATATTGCATATCTATTGAAATATTTTCATACTGCAATATCACTATGTGATTAAGCTTTAAAAAACCCTTTAACCATGACAAAATATATAATATTTGGCACAAATAAAAAACAACACCGATCATTGTCTATTGCAATATACCATTTGCAATATTTTTCAAAACACAAAGGTGCCTGTTGGCATAACTCTTCACAAACTAATGAAAAGATTAACGGAGTTGTCTCTCTTTAATGAAACCAAGCACTTGATAGCTGGTCAAGGTTGTTTATACTAGAAATCCAATTAAACATATTCCTAAACATATTCTCAATAATTTCTGGTCATACTATAGTTACTAGGCTACCCCTACAATGTTGCAAGATAGTTTTCCAAAGGCCGAGGTGTGAACCATCTCCGAAAACCCCATGAATAATGTCTCCCATTTTGACATACAGGTCAGGGACTAACAATATATGGATGACCAACTTCTTTATTGCTGTTAGAGCAACATGGTGGGTTCTAACACCGCCATCAAGCAAACCGATGATAAATAAAGAAGCATCCATATATTGTTATCCTTCTTTACTCAACTTCTAAATGCCTTAACCTCTTAAGCAGTTTAGATGTTATCTGAGTAACAGGACTGTGATCATGGGTGCCTGGCACCTGGCTTATCATCAAAGGTTAATTGGAATTTACTACTAGAATAAACTTTTTAGAAATAGCTTTTTCTCTACATATTTTGATGACTAAAGAGATTAATTTGAATAGCATATATGAAATTTCAAATTTTACTTATTTTCTGAAAATAAAATCTTCAACATGATGTCAGCATCAAATATGTGTACAGCTCTAACCCTGCACAGCATGGGGTCAGGGGAGGGGATCATTTTCACAGCCTGCCTGAAATATGAAACCCTGAATGAAACTTTTAGCCAACTCACAGGCTTGTATCTATGGAAACGCACCTACTCTGGCCACCTGACTGACACAGTGGGAAATTCAAATCTGGATTTGAAAAGAGAAATATATTTTCAAAATGTATGTTTAGTAGGCTGCCTGCAACCATACATTTTACCATGAGCCTTCATAACATACTTCTATGGATATACATACACTATGGCTTAATTTCATCATGAACCGGTAAGTCACTTTGTGAAATATCATGGAATGTACTTGAATACTGCATTGCTTTGAATCGAAAGACAGCTTTGACAAGGCAAGGAGGTCACACCCCATCTGTGTATAGGTTTGAACCCCCACCTTTAAAGTATTTCAGGTAAATAGTTTACGAGTAAACAGTATCTGAGTCTGACTATGGAGCTGCAGATCGTCAAACAATTCCAACGGTTCGTTCTGTCTCTGAATATCCGGTTTCTGTGCCTTCTGCGGTGTTGATAGACTACGGCCGCCATTGCTCAGTTACGCCTTGCTTACGCCACCTACTCTGGGACGTAAAGTAAGGTGCAACTTTTCCAACGTCATGGATATGCAGTAGGGCGTAGATTTGCACTTGGGTGCAGTTCACATTTACGCCCGGAATAGGACGTACGCCGGAGATATGCATACGGCCACAGATGTGGCTGGAAATATGTTCACCTCTTACTTCAAGCATGGGTTGTAATGGGTGTAAATAGTATTGTTTTTATCCTGACATCAATACTCAGACTTGCACATCATCAGACACAGCTGAATGAGAAACAGTCCCCGGTAAAAACATAACAAGTCAATTGAATCAAACTCAGATTTGGAAACAAACAAATAGAGAAAGAAGCCTCTTATAATATTGAAGAAGACTACCTGGACACACAGCACTGCACAACTGCTACAATATATGATCAGCCAATACAAGTAGTGTATTAAAGCCTCCATTGGGTGCATCAACTAACATCCACTAGAATTGAACAATGTTTTAGGAAACTTGATTACAGGTAGTAAAGTCTGTAGGCCAGGTGTACAGATGACGAAGTGACCTGACTACAGGTAGTACAGTCTGTCAGCCAGGTGTACAGATGACTAACGAAGTGACCTGACTGTCAGCCACGTATAAAGATGACTAATGAAGTGATATGACTACAGGTAGTACAGTCTGTCAGCCAGGTGTACAGATGAAGTGACCTGACTATAGGTAGTACAGTCTGTCAGCCAGGTGTACAGATGAAACGTGATCTGACTATAGGTAGTACAGTCTGTCAGCCAGGTGTACAGATGAAGTGACCTGACTATAGGTAGTACAGTCTGTCAGCCAGGTGTACAGATGAAGTGACCTGACTATAGGTAGTACAGTCTGTCAGCCAGGTGTACAGATGATGAAGTGACCTGACTACAGGTAGTACAGTCTGTCAGCCAGGTGTACAGATGACTAACGAAGTGACCTGACTGTCAGTCACGTATAAAGATGACTAATGAAGTGATATGACTAAAGGTAGAACAGTCTGTCAGCCAGGTGTACAGATGAAGTGACCTGACTATAGGTAGTACAGTCTGTCAGCCAGGAGTACAGATGACGAAGTGACCTGACTATAGGTAGTACAGTCTGTCAGCCAGGTGTACAGATGACAAACGAAGTGATCTGACTACAGGTAGTACAGTCTGTCAGCCAGGTGTACAGATGACTAACGATGTGATCTGACTACAGGTAGTACAGTCTGTCAGCCAGGTGTACAGATGACTAACAAAGTGATCTGACTACAGGTAGTACAGTCTGTCAGCCAGGTGTACAGATGACTAACGATGTGACCTGACTACAGGTAGTACAGTCTGTCAGTCAGGTGTACAGATGATGAAGTGACCTGACTACAGGTAGTACAGTCTGTCAGCCAGGTGTACAGATGACTAACAAAGTGATCTGACTACAGGTAGTACAGTCTGTCAGCCAGGTGTACAGATGACTAACGATGTGACCTGACTACAGGTAGTACAGTCTGTCAGCCAGGTGTACAGATGACTAACGATGTGACCTGACTACAGGTAGTACAGTCTGTCAGCCAGGTGTATTGACGACTAACGATGTGACCTGACTACAGGTAGTACAGTCTGTCAGCCAGGTGTACAGATGACAAACGACGTGACCTGACTACAGGTAGTACAGTCTGTCAGCCAGGTGTACAGATGACTAACGACGTGACCTGACTACAGGTAGTACAGTCTGTCAGCCAGGTGTACAGATGACTAACGATGTGACCTGACTACAGGTAGTACAGTCTGTCAGCCAGGTGTATTGATGACTAACGATGTGATCTGGCTACAGGTAGTACAGTCTGTCAGCCAGGTGTACAGATGACTAACGAAGTGATCTGACTACAGGTAGTACAGTCTGTCAGCCAGGTGTACAGATGACTAACGATGTGATCTGACTACAGGTAGTACAGTCTGTCAGCCAGGTGTACAGATGACTAACGATGTGACCTGACTACAGGTAGTACAGTCTGTCAGCCAGGTGTACAGATGACAAACGACGTGATCTGACTACAGGTAGTACAGTCTGTCAGCCAGGTGTACAGATGACTAACGATGTGACCTGACTACAGGTAGTACAGTCTGTCAGCCAGGTGTACAGATGACTAACGATGTGATCTGACTACAGGTAGTACAGTCTGTCAGCCAGGTGTATTGACGACTAACGATGTGACCTGACTACAGGTAGTACAGTCTGTCAGCCAGGTGTACAGATGACTAACGAAGTGATCTGACTACAGGTAGTACAGTCTGTCAGCCAGGTGTACAGATGAAGTGACCTGACTATAGGTAGTACAGTCTGTCAGCCAGGTGTACAGATGAAGTGACCTGACTATAGGTAGTACAGTCTGTCAGCCAGGTGTACAGATGAAGTGACCTGACTATAGGTAGTACAGTCTGTCAGCCAGGTGTACAGATGATGAAGTGACCTGACTACAGGTAGTACAGTCTGTCAGCCAGGTGTACAGATGACTAACGAAGTGACCTGACTGTCAGCCACCACGTATAAAGATGACTAATGAAGTGATATGACTAAAGGTAGAACAGTCTGTCAGCCAGGTGTACAGATGAAGTGACCTGACTATAGGTAGTACAGTCTGTCAGCCAGGTGTACAGATGACTAACAACGTGATCTGACTATAGGTAGTACAGTCTGTCAGCCAGGTGTACAGATGACAAACGAAGTGATCTGACTACAGGTAGTACAGTCTGTCAGCCAGGTGTACAGATGACTAACGATGTGATCTGACTACAGGTAGTACAGTCTGTCAGCCAGGTGTACAGATGACTAACAAAGTGATCTGACTACAGGTAGTACAGTCTGTCAGCCAGGTGTACAGATGACTAACGATGTGACCTGACTACAGGTAGTACAGTCTGTCAGTCAGGTGTACAGATGATGAAGTGACCTGACTACAGGTAGTACAGTCTGTCAGCCAGGTGTACAGATGACTAACAAAGTGATCTGACTACAGGTAGTACAGTCTGTGAGCCAGGAGTACAGATGACTAACGAAGTGATCTGACTACAGGTAGTACAGTCTGTCAGCCAGGTGTATTGACGGTTCCCGGTGTAGGCTCTGTCCGACTAGAAAGGCCAGTTTGTGAGCATACTGACAGGGGGCAGGTACTTGGATGGTCCTCTGAAACAGATAGGACAATTCATTGATTGACAAAAAGTGAACGAGTTTAATTTTACACCACTTTTAGCAATATTCCACCACTCTGTAGGTGGACAACACCAGAAATGGGCTTCACACATTGTACCCATGAGGGGAGAGAAACCTGGGTCATCGGTGTGACGAGCAATCGTGTTAACAACCACAAGGCTACCCCACAATCCAGACTGACAAAGAAGCTGACATCAAATCACATTTGTAGTTTCAGATTATTAATTCTTTTGCAAAAAGAATATAAAAAATTAACCATTTACTTATATTAGCGTTGCAGCAAATATTAGACTAGTCAAATTTCTAAGAAATGTGGAGTTTAAGGATGCATGAGGCATTTTTGAGTAAAAGCAAGCAAACAACATTTTCTGGGGTAGTTTTTCGTGCTGAATACGAATCTGTTGTTTGCTAAGCTCAAAAATGCCTAATTAGGTCACAAATTGGGTTCAAAGGTCAATGAGTGCAAAATTCAATATTTTTAAAAAGTGTTTTATTTATCATTCTCCATCCATCCAATGAACTCATTTTACAATATATTGATTAATAATGTTACCACAGGATTTCAAAATGTTGGATTTCATGGAAATGCTGAAGGAAAACTTCGTATTTTTGCAAATATCTCCCTTATGGAGCTGACTTTTAGTTTTTGCGTGAAGATCTGCTTTTTACAAGCATTTTTGCTCAAAATGCAAAGCAAGGCTGAATTTTCTCCTTTTGTTGACAGAATTATATTCCAGGCAAACTGTTTAGATCACAAATATTATGCATATTAAGCGCATAATTACTTCAAAGGTTAATGAGTGTGACAGGATGCGATAGGCATTTTACATGTATGCCACTAATTTAATGCTTTTATACTGCTTCACATGCATGTCAAATGAAACTGCTTTCATTCATGCAGTGAGTTTGATTAATGATTTTAGCAACATAATTACCCACAGAACAGTTCAGGAAATCACAGGAACAGGTGGAAACCCTATCTGATAATGGCATTGATGGCACAGCTCTATGCTGGTGCAAGTCTTATCTGTCGTCCCATCACCAGCAAGTACTGATAGAGGATCATTACTCTAATCCAGCTCATCTATTTTGTGGTGCCCCACAAGGATCGGTCTTAGGTCCGGTCTTGTTCAGTCTTTACATCAAAGATCTTGGGAAAATCATGGAAGCCCACCATGTTGACCGCCATCACTTTGCTGATGATTCCTAAAATGTACAAAGTCTTCTTACCCACCATGGATCAAGCAACACCCGCCTTGAACGACCTACAACAGTGATGTGAGGAAACCAAGAGCTGGATGTTTGACAACATGTTGAAATTGAACAGTTCAAAGACAGAGTGCATTCTACTGGGTCCTGCAAAACGTTGCTCCCAGTGCTCATTGAATGCTCTTGATTTTGATGGAGAAAGTATTCCATTCTCGAAGAAAGTAAGAGATCTTGGTGTCATCCTTGACTCCGACCTCTCTTTGGATGATCACATACCACATCTCTCTAGGATCTGTTTTGCAGCTCTACGCAATATCAGTTCCATTAGGCAATACCTGACTATAGATTCGGCACAAACTCTCACCTTATGCCATGTAATGACCTGCCTGGACTTTTGTAACTCTCTCCTAGCCGGTGCAAACAAATCACAAATCAAGAGACTTCAACGAATCCAAAATGCTGCGTATCGTCTCGACTAGATCGAAGAAGTTTGACCACATCTCTCCCATTCTTCAATCTCTTCATTGGCTTCCAATCGAGAACCGATCCGCTTTAAACTCCTCTGCCTCACCTACCGCTGCCTGTCTGGATGCGCTCCTGCTTATCTCTCCAATCTTCTTATGTCATATAAACCAGCTAGATCCCTTCGTTCTCAGGACAAAAACCTTCTGCTTGTTCCTAGAGCAAACAGTGTTTGCTACGTAGGCAGATCATTCGCCTACGCAGCTTCAACAGCCTGGAATGATCTTCCCCTCTCTCTCCGGAACACCAGTGACTTCTCTAGCTTCCGATCAAAACTGAAAACTCACCTTTTCCTGATGTCTTTCCAACTTTGCTGAACTCTGAGCATACTTCAGTATGGATATATGCACGTTAGAAATGCACTATTTTTACTATTATTATTATAATGTGTCAAATACAGAGTATGAAGATGAAGGCAAAAGTGGAACATAAATGCATACAAGCCATGTGCTATGACTGAAGGATTGGCTAAAAGACTTTGCTATCACATATTTGGTTTTAGGAATCTTTGTGCCGGAGGATTTTGTTAGTTGATGCACTGCTTGTACTTTTTTATTCAAATGGTTCAGTGTGTGTGGACCAGGAGAGGTCATCAGTGGCGGTATATACGTAGCACTGGTGTAAGTTTGTTTCTATTCACAGGCCAAGGTTTATCATTTGAGCTTTGTATCATATGTCAGGAAACCAGTCGGTCTAAAAATACCTTCTACAACCAGACATAACTGGGCATCTAATCCATCTTTGAGGCCACCCAGCTCAGGCACAAATTGAAACATTGCAAAGTTCGGTTATCTGTAGACAGGCTTTCGTTCCTCTTTGAAGAATCTCCTGACGGCAACCCTAATCTAAAATGGCACAAACTCTGTTATTCAGCATACACACATTAGGGAAAAATAAATGTAAGGCTTGCCAAGGAACAGTCCAATGCTTCACAAGGAAATGAGCAGACTGGTGTTTCAGATGAAGGATACCGCTTTTTATGCAGGGGTACTTCAACAGTGAACTTGACGTTGTGTATTTTCTGTCACAGCTCCGAAAGCAAGCAGAAGACGAGCCATGTTTCTACCATAATAATACATTCTAAAGTGTGCACAAATGCAAAATATGCACACAAGGTCTTTGAATGTATTATAGACGTGAATGATTTAATAGCAGCCGAATCATGCTATCACATCTAAGTTAATTTCTGTGGGATTCCAAAAGGGCAGAAACTTACAGCAAATGAGCTGATATGGCCATGGCTTGGTTGTGTCAGGAGTTATGTCACCGTGCAGAGAATGGACACATATTTGAATTGTCTGCTGTGTTCATGAGGCACAAAGAATTATCCAATTATCATTTTCTGTCAGTTTTTGCCCTTTTGGCATCCCACATAAATTTACTTAGACAGTCAATATGCCCAGTTCTGTCTGGTTGTAGAGGGTATTTTTAGACCGACTGGTTTCCTGACATATGATACAAAGCTCAAATGATAAACCTTGGCCTGTGAATAGAAACAAACTTACACCAGTGCTACGTATATACCGCCACTGATGACCTCTCCTGGTCCACACACACTGCACCTTTTGAATAAAAAAGTACCAGTGCAGTGCGTCAACTAACAAAATCCTCCGGCACATAGATTCCTAAAACCAAACATGTGATAGCAAAGTCTTTTAGTACAGCCTCGATCCTTCAGTCATAGCACACTTTTGCCTTCATCTTCATACTATGTATTTGACACATTATCGGATAGGGTTCCCACCTGTTCCTGTGATTTCCTGAACTGTTCTGTGGGTAATTATGTTGCTAAAATCATTAATCAAACTCACTGCACGAATGAAAGCAGTTTCATTTGACATGCATGTGAAGCAGTATAAAAGCATTCGCGTGGCATACATGTAAAAATGCCTATCGCATCCTGTCACACTCATTAACCTTTGAAGTAATTATAAACTTTAATATGCGATTTTTGTGATCTAAACAGTTTGCCTGGAATATAATTCTGTCAACAAAAGGAGAAAAATTCAGCCTTGCTTTGCATTTTGAGCAAAAATGCTTGTAAAAAGTAGATCTTCACGCAAAAACTAAAAGTCGCTCCATAAGGGAGATATTTGCAAAAATACAAAGTTTTTCCTTCAGCATTTCCATGAAATCCAACATTTTGAAATCCTGTGGTAACATTATTAATCAATATATTGTAAAATGAGTTCATTGGATGGATGGAGAATGATAAATAAAACACTTTTTAAAAATATTGAATTTTGCACTCATTGACCTTTGAACCCAATTTGTGACCTAATTAGGCATTTTTGAGCTTAGCAAACAACAGATTCGTATTCAGCACGAAAAACTACCCCAGAAAATGTTGTTTGCTTGCTTTTACTCAAAAATGCCTCATGCATTCACATTTCTGAGAAATTTGACTAGTCTATATAGCTTGAAAATCATTTATGCATATTTAAGCAAATTTGTCCATATATTGGAATGATCGTAAAATTAGTTGCACACTTGGCTGACACTGACCGGCCTATTGTAGTAGAGGTGGGTCAACTTGAAGGTAAGTCGCTGTAGGTGCTCTCGACGAAGTCCTGTGTCGTCCCAGATGACGGTGTACTGGGTGGGCGACACTGTGCCATTATTCACCGACTCGCTCACCAGGAAGAAGTTGTAACTATTACAGAACAAGTCAAGAAACATTTTATAGATGACCAGACTTCAGGTCATCCCCTAAATGCTGAGTGAGTGAGTGAGTTTAGTTTTATGCTGTTTTTAGCAATATTCCAGCAAATTCAAGGCAGGGAATACCGGAATGGACTTCACATGTTGTACCCATTTTGGGGAATCGAACCCGGGTCTTAAGTGTGATGAGCACCGCTTTAACTACTAGGCTACCCCACCGCACCCCTAAATGCTCACACCCGTGAAGGTCCGGATTAGAATGAGCCTTCAGTAACCCATACTTGTCGGGATCTAACGGGATCAGGTGGTCAGGCTTGACTTCTAAGCTATATCTCCCATGTCTAAGCTACATCTCCCATGTCTAAGCCATATCTCCCATGTCTAAGCTATATCTCCCATGTCTAAGCTATATCTCCCTTGTCTAAGCTATATCTCCATGTCTAAGCCACATCTCCCGCGTCTAAGCTACATCTCCCATGTCTAAGCTACATCTCCCACGTCTAAGCCACATCTCCCACGTCTAAGCTACATCTCCCATGTCTAAGCCATATCTCCCATGTCTAAGCTATATCTCCCACATCTAAGCTATATCTCCCATGTCTAAGCTATATCTCCCATGTCTAAGCCACATCTCCCATGTCTAAGCCACATCTCCCATGTCTAAGCCACATCTCCCCTGTCTAAGCTATATCTCCCACATCTAAGCTATATCTCCCATGTCTAAGCTACATCTCCCACGTCTAAGCCACATCTCCCACATCTAAGCTTTATCTCCCATGTCTAAGCTACATCTCCCATGTCTAAGCCATATCTCCCATGTCTAAGCTATATCTCCCACATCTAAGCTATATCTCCCATGTCTAAGCTATATCTCCCATGTCTAAGCCACATCTCCCATGTCTAAGCCACATCTCCCATGTCTAAGCTCACCATTCCTGTTTGGTAATGACAGAGTCCACCACTGTACCAGGAGGAGGGTTTTCCACATCAGTGGTCCTGATGAACAGCCGTGTGTTGATTTGCTTATTCACCACGATGAATGACAAACGTGGACTGAAATAATAATAACCTTTGACGTAAAACAGCAAAAATGACAAGCATAAAAAACATTAGTAAAGCAGACTTCTTTTTCCCCAGTCATAACTCAATTGGGGCCACAGGTAGCAGCGTTGTCAAGGTCACCATGCAGAGTTGCCTCCCTTGAGAAGAAGAAACCTGAGATTGTGTGTTAGAATTCACCCCAAATATGTTTCGCAGTTTGTTAACGCCACATCCATGCTCTTGGGTTTGTCCCAAGTCGTGGTCGGTTGCATCGGTTTGAGTTGATATGCCATGATATATCTGGAATACTGTTTATTGGCAACTTATTTCAAGCTCAATGTGGACATCTAACAGAGAGATAGAAGAGAGGAAACTTTACCTGTAGTTCTCCCTGTACTGTTGAAAGATTTCCTTGACCCGTGGCAGCTCACGACTGACTACGGCATCCAGTTGGCCCTCTCTGACACCATCACGATAGATGAAAATCTTCTCAGGTAGAACACCACGTATTTCCAGGAACCTCAGGGCCTCTAAAATACATTGAGATACACTCAGACGTACAGTTGACACGTCTTGTAAATGGCCAAAATAACAATAAACATTACAAGCAGGTCGTCTGTCACTAAGCTCATATTTACCAGACAATGCCAGGATGTTGCATGTCCTTACTCTGATATCTACCAGACAATGACGGGATGTCACCTGTCCTTACACTTATATCTACCAGACAATGCCAGGATGTCACCTGTCCTTACACTTATATCTACCAGACAATGTCGGGATGTTACCTGTCCTTACACTTATATCTACCAGACAATGCCTGGATGTTACCTGTCCTTACACTTATATCTACCAGACAATGCCAGGATGTCACCTGTCCTTACACTTATATCTACCAGACAATGCCAGGATGTCACCTGTCCTTACACTTATATCTACCAGACAATGCCTGGATGTTACCTGTCCTTACATTTATATCTACCAGACAATGACGGGATGTCACCTGTCCTTACACTTATATCTACCAGACAATTCTGGGATGTTACCTGTCCATTACTACCAATGACATACCTCTACATACTGGCATCAGTCTATTGATCAGCTCATCATGACTTTCATAGAAGATGACTCTGCTGTAGAAGCGAGTGCAGATGGTGTTCATGCTGCAAACCACGCCACACACGGACCAGTTCCTCATGGACATGTCCGGGTAGGTGTCGATACCAATCACCATGACAGGAACAACAAACTGAAACAGTTAACGGTGTGCTGTAGAAGCCGACCATGATGAGGTCTACAACCAGGTGAGTTACTGTGTTATAGACATTATAAAGTCTGTGCATTTGACAGATTTAGTGAAATGTAGGTCTCGAACACCTGTCATGGGGGAATCGGAGGGAATTGTTATCTGTAGTGGACCTGTACAAGTATGCATACAGTCACACACTCAAATACTCAGGCACAGACATAGACACATACACATGAACACATACAATCCAAGAGCTGTACACAGGCACAGGCACAGAGCGGTACACAGGCACAGAGCGGTACACAGGCACAGAGCGGTACACAGGCACAGGGCAGTACACAGGCACAAGCACAGAGCGGTACACAGGCACAGGGCAGTACACAGGCACAGGGCAGTACACAGGCACAGGCACAGAGCGGTACACAGGCACAGAGCAGTACACAGGCACAGAGCGGTACACAGGCACAGGGCAGTGCACAGTCACAGAGCGGTACACAGGCACAGGGCAGTACACAGGCACAGGGCAGTACACAGGCACAGAGCGGTACACAGGCACAGGGCAGTGCACAGGCACAGGGCAGTACACAGGCACAGAGCGGTACACAGGTACAGGGCAGTGCACAGTCACAGAGCGGTACACAGGCACAGGGCAGTACACAGGCACAGGGCAGTACACAGGCACAGAGCGGTACACAGGCACAGGGCAGTACACAGGCCAAGGCACAGAGCAGTACACAGGCACAGGGCAGTACACAGGCCAAGGCACAGAGCGGTACACAGGCACAGGGCAGTACACAGGCCAAGGCACAGAGCGGTACACAGGCACAGGGCAGTACACAGGCCAAGGCACAGAGCGGTACACAGGCACAGGGCAGTACACAGACACAGAGCGGTACACAGGCACAGGGCAGTACACAGGCCAAGGCACAGAGCGGTACACAGGTACAGGGCAGTACACAGGCCAAGGCACAGAGCGGTACACAGGCACAGGGCAGTGCACAGTCACAGGCACAGAGCGGTACACAGGCACAGGGCAGTACACAGGCCAAGGCACAGAGCGGTACACAGGCACAGGGCAGTACACAGGCCAAGGCACAGGCGGTACACAGGCACAGGGGCAGTACACAGTCACAGGCACAGAGCGGTACACAGGCACAGGGCAGTACACAGGCCAAGGCACAGAGCGGTACACAGGCACAGGGCAGTGCACAGTCACAGGCACAGAGCGGTACACAGGCACAGGGCAGTACACAGGCCAAGGCACAGAGCGGTACACAGGCACAGGGCAGTACACAGTCACAGGCACAGAGCGGTACACAGGCACAGGGCAGTGCACAGTCACAGGCACAGAGCGGTACACAAGCACAGGAAAAGAGTTGTAGACGCATGCACACACACACAGCCACACACACACACACACAGCCACACACACACAAGTGGTGTAGGATCTAACACTGTTATGAAGCCAGTTTTAGAACCTACATCGAAACGCCACTCTCACTGTAATAAAAACGTTCATTCATATGATATATTTTATCCTTCATTACTGCTCCAACTTCTAAATGCCTCTTAAAGAAGCAATTCCAAGCTGGATCATTGAAGATCATGTACTTACAGGAATGTCCAACGCCCATGCTTCTCCTCCCAGTTTGCAGTTGAGCTGTATTGCTATGTTTCTAGCCATACTCTTCATCAACCGCGAAACAGCCAGGGTCCTCTGTAACACTACTTGACATGGGACTGCAACAGCGAAGACAAAAATGAAATGGATAGTACCTTTCATTTGTTCCAACCCATGCCTTCTACAAAACCTTGTTCTCATAACTAACTCATCTGTACTAACAGATGTTTGACAGGCTTCATTTCTGTCTCTGAAAGATGTTAAAATTTGCAGTAATGTTGGTTGGTTGTTTGTTGCTCAGCAATATTCCATCTGTATGGCACGGTCTGTAAATAATTTAGTCTGGACCAGACAATCCAGTGATCAACATGATGAGCATCCATCTGCTCAACTGGGACACAATGACATGTGTCAACCAAGACAGTGACCCCGACCACCCAAACCCGTTAGTCGCCTCTGATGACAAGCATGCTTCAAAACAAACCAGTGAACCTGACCATCCGATCCTATAGATAACCTCTTACTTGCAGTAATGTATTGGTGTGACATAAATGATAACTCTGAAGTGACCAGTCCTTGTCTTACACCTTAATGCCAAACACCAGGCAGGGCTTTTGGCAAGTACCATCTTTTAATGACTCTTGGAGTGTCGGTGCCAGGGGATATAACTCTGAAGTGACCAGTCCTTGTCTTACACCTTAATGCCAAACACCAGGCAGGGTTTTTGGCAAGTACCATCTTGTAATGACTCTTGGTGTGTCGGTGCCAGGGGACATAACTCTGAAGTGACCAGTCCTTGTCTTACACCTTAATGCCAAACACCAGGCAGGGTAAAGACAAGTACCATCTTTTAATGACACTTGGTGTGACGGTGCCGGGGCATCAAACCACCAATCCTCCCCTCTCCATGGAGATGAGCTTTCCACGTGCCAATTTAGGTTCAAACAAGGGCATGGTAATCATTTCTCAGGGTCAAGGTTGGACCCAATGTGGACCTTTGTTACTCTAAAATGTCTTATGAGGAATGAGTGAGAGAGTGAGAGAGTGAGTTGAGTTTAATACCGCTTTTAGCAATATCCCAGCAATACCACCGTGAGGGACACCATTGTACCTATTTGGGGAACTGAACCGGGTGTTCGGTGTGATAAGCAAACACCTTAACCACTAGGCTACCCCAACTGCCCCTTTATGAGGACATTGTCAGCAGAAATATGATCAGGGTCTTGTCGCATGGAGTGATTTTAGTGCAGCGATTGTTGCAAACCTTGAAAGTATGAGAGATATTATGAGAGATATTATGAGAGATATTATGGGAGATATTATGAGAGATATTATGAGAGATATTATGGAGATATTATGAGAGATATTATGGGAGATATTACGGAGATATTATGGGAGATATTATGAGAGATATTATGGGAGATATTATGGGAGATATTATGAGAGATAGTATGAGAGATATTATGGGAAATAGTATGGGAGTTATTATGGGAGATAGTATGGGAGATAGTATGGGAGATAGTACGGGAGATAGTATGGGAGATAGTATTGGAGATAGAACGGGACAGTATCATCTTAGTAACAGAATTTTGGAACTGAGCCTGAAACATTTTTTAAGCTACTCGTGTAATGTTTCAGGCATCTGGTTTTGTAGTTCCTTTAAAGAATATTTAATACATGTAATCATATTACACAGGGGCTTGTATTGCTGAAAATAATACGTCCTGGGTCCTACAAGCGTACACTGATATCCATATACATATAAAGAAGGAAAGGGATGTAACGCACACAAACTTGTCAAACACCCCCCTCTCGTAAATGGGCGAAATCTGGGTGGGAAATTGTGAAATACACAGCCGGAATTCTTATTGAAATAAAGCCAGATGATTTCCCTTTCGATTAATTCCAAAATTATCAAAATCGGTGCACTATTGACCGAGTAACTTTGCTTGGAACTTCGGGGAAAGACAACTTTTTCATTTGTGCGCCAAAACCTGCTTCTCGAAAATCATCGCCTCTCGTGAAGAAATACTAAGTATTTCAATGGAAAACGTATGTCGGGAAAAGACATAACCTTTTAAATGTCGCTAGATATTCGGCTTTAAGCATTACAACATCTCAAATGAAATGAGTTACTGATTTTACCTGCCATACACGACTTTATTGGAAAATTAGCGGTATCGAGTGATCGAGGCCACCATGTTTGTCCTTCACCTTCAATAGACTCCTGATTCAAGACCAACGACGCCTACTCTATTTAGGAAATAAAGTTCGCTTCTACCCCAATGTGTTTTGTAATAAAGTATAGTTTTGCCCTTAACTATTATATTTAAAGCACGAGGACGAACTTTATTTCCTAAATATCGCGCCCACCTAAATAAACATAATACTGGTATTTTATTTTTTAACCAATCAGAGAGTAGCTCGTCGTTGGTGCTTGAGTCTATTGAAGGTGAAGGACAAACATGGTGGCCTCGATCACCGATACACCGCTTAATTTTCCAATAAAGTCGGTATGGCAGGTAAAATCAGTAACTCATTTCATTTGAGATGTTGTAATGCTAAAGCGGAATATCTAGCGACACAAAAGGTTATGTCTTTTTCACGATGGTTTTTCCATTGAAATACTTAGTATTTCTTCGGCCCGAGAGGCGCGATGATTTTGTAGGCAGGTTTTGGCGACAAATGAAAAAAGTTGTCTTTCCCCGAGTTCCAAGCAAAGTGACTCGGTCAATAGTGCACCGATTTTGATAATTTTGGAATTAATCGAAAGGGAAATCATCTGGCTTTATTTCAATAAGAATTCCGGCTGTGTATTTCACAATTTCCCACCCAGATTTCGCCCATTTACGAGAGGGGGGTGTTTGACAAGTTTGTGTGCGTTACATCCCTTTCCTTCTTTATATGTATATGGATATCAGTGTACGCTTGTAGGACCCAGGACGTATTATTTTCAGCAATACAAGCCCCTGTGTCATATTACGCCTTCACTATTGCTTTTAAAAATTTGTATACTTTTTAAGGGTTCGTACAAATTATCACTTATAAAATTTCAGGAGTTTGTACGGGCTTTCTAAGAAACTATAGAAACACAATATAACACAAATGAAGTCGAATACACACAAGGTTGGTCAAATATGAGACCAATCATGAGTGTAAAATAACTCTTAACTACATCGCTACATGGGAAAATTTTCATGGCGATGGAGATTAACTAACAACCACTACCATTGCAAGGTATCTTTGTTATGTATTACTTTAATGTAAAATTATAAGTTTTGCTAAATATAGGGCTTTTTAGGGCACATAACTGACCATTAGGACCTTTTCAAGGCTAAATTGAAGTTAAAGCATATTTAGGGTGAAACTACGGGAAATGTCAAAACTGTAAGCTTTTTCAAACCTGCATGAACCCTGTTTTTTTATATATTTTAACTTGATCCCCTGCAAAACTATCCAACAGACCTGATATCTCACATGTACAGAACCTCTTGATGGCATTGTATCGGTCCTTCTTGTTGTCGCTGACTATGCATACCACCATCTGGAGGTCAGAGGTCAAGGAGTTCCTCAAAGCCCTCAGATATGTTTCGTTCCGGTCGTCATCCAAGGCAATCCTGATAAAAACACCACTTTATTAGCAAAAAAAATGGTGGTAAGTGCAGACATTCAGTAAGTGAGTGAGTTTAGATTTATGCCACACTCAGAAATATTCCAGCTATATGGTATCAGTCTGTAAATAATCGAGTCTAGACCAGACCATCCAGTGATCAACAGCATGAGTATCGATCTATGCAACTGGGATATGATGACATGTGTCAACCAAGTCAGCGAGCCTGACCACCCGATCCCGTTAGCTGCCTCTTACGACAAGCATGGGTTACTGAAAATCAATGCTTATAAGGATCTTCATGGGTAGCAGTCATTCAGCAACATGGATGGTCATAAAATTACTGGTTTCAAAGAACACACACGAGTATTGACATTAACGCATCAATTAAACTTTTAACAAGGGACATTGTCTTGACAATGTTTTCACAGTTCTTTAATTAGCAGAGTGAGTCAGTTTTAGATTTTATGCAGCTTTCGGCAATATTCCAGCAATGTCATGGCAGGGGACACCTGAAAATGGGCTTCACACATCATTACGTCATAAGCATCGATCTTTCCAATTGTGATGTACAATGATATGCATTAACCAAGTTGATCTCAATATTCACATCTACCTGGGGTTGCTAAGTAAAGGATAAAACACGACTCCAAGGGCTTGGTTGGGATTGTAAAGCCCTCGAGCAGCAGGGACGGAGCTTGTAAAACCCCGTCTTGTGAGGGACACATGGTTCATACTGACAAACAATCTCATTCTTCAGAGCGATCTTTCGTAGGCGAGTGGATAAAACCGCCAAGTTAGAGAGCGAAGAGTTGCAGGTTCGAAACCAGTTATCGCCACTATATATTGGAAGTTTTCAGTCATAGCAAGACAAAGTCGTATCAATCATAAATACTGGTCATTTCAAAACGTAGGTTATGAAATGGACGAAATTTAACCTGATATGAGGTTTCGAAACGTGTACTTCAAAACCTGGGTTCAGAAATGATCAGTGCAAAGTCACGGCAGAGGTTTACCCGATTCTGGAAGGAACCTACTCTACTGCAGAGAAAATGGGAGATAGGTTTATAAGTGTTGGTTGGTTGGTTTGCTGTTTAACGCTGCACTCAGCAATTTTCCAGCTATATGGTAGCAGTCTGTAAATAATCGAGTCTGGACCAAACAATCCAGTGATCAACAGAATGAGCATCGATCTACTCAGTTGGGATGCGATGACATGTGTCAACTAAGTCAACACGTCTGACCACCTTACAAGCATGGGTTGCCGAGGACCAATTCTAACGCGGATCGTCACGGGTAGGGGGTTGGTAAGAGACCAATCCTAATCCATTTGAAGCAGGGATTTACAACTTACTTGGTTGGATGTGAGATCTGCATGTCCATCTTTTGACCCGCTCTTTCGAGAAACCACACAAAGTGAAGGGCTATTTCGTCGTGTTTCTTTGGAAACAGGATGAGCCAGTTTCTAAGGGCGACAGTCACCAGGGGCTTCTTGTTATGAAGCCAACGTCCATACTTAGGGTTGTAAGAGAACTACAAGACAGAAAAACATGAACTGAACCATCACACAAGCAGACTGAATGGCATGGTTTTATCCAGTAGAGTGAGTGAGTATGTTTTCATGTCGCTTTTAGCAATATTCCAACAATATGGCTTTATCAAAAAGGACAAGATCAGGTTTGTTGACAGGAATTCGTCAGAGGCTACATATGGAGACTGCATTCCAAAGAAGTTTAATCCGTATTTTTCCATGACATGGTCAGGGTTGTACCATGGATGGACCTCGGAGTCAAAGCCACAGGCATGGCGATCACGATAGTAGAAACAACAAGCCATGCCATCATGTCTTTTAAGGTATTCTTTCAAGCAGATATCCACTTACGTTGACATTTCCACCTCCGATGATTTGTTCAGGAATAAGGATACGTCCACGCACTACCAATAGTGTTTCGGAGAATCCAAACCCCCAGTTTTCAAGTTCTTGATGTGTTTGTTGGTTTCTGACAAAACAAAACATTGATGGGTACACAACGTAGCATCACAACATAAATCAATGGATGATCTGCTTGCTATCGTTACAGATCAGAGAGATCGATACCTGGGTCTTCTGCATCTCACCTTAACCACAAGGCTACACCACCACCCACTTTGGGAACAAGGTCAGAATGATGAAAATTGCCTGAATACAGTTGTGGGAAGATATGACACAATATTGACTGCCGATACTTCCCATTGTTTCCCATTGTTTCCCATTGTCTATGATTGTTTCTTTGTTTGTTTAACACCACACTCAGCAATATTCCAGCTATATGGCAACAGTCTGTAAACAACTGAGTCTGGACCAGACAATCCAGTGATCAACAGCATGAGCATCAATCAATGGTATGCGGTGACATGTGTCAACCAAAACAGCAAGTCTGACCACCCGATACTGTCGATCAGCTCTTACCACCAGCATTCTAATCCGGATCTTCACTGGTTCAGTGCTTAAGAAAGAACCATCAACTTGCAACATCATCGACTAACAGCTAAAGATCTATTTTGCTGATTTGGAGCTAAAAAACAAGAAGATAAACAAAATATGAGAAACCTATTTCTGATCTCTTCTAATAGAAACGTACAACCTCACTCACACTTTTAATTAGAAAAAAAACATTTAACCAACCAATCCCCACTTCAACAACTTCACACAAAGGCAGCAGGGAACTAGCCTACTCTGGTCCATTCTCAAGACATCGGCGAACTCACCTTTCAAGCCTGTTCCTGAACCTCAGTAACTTGTCAACCCTATCATTGGGTGGGATTCTGGGATGAACAGCCACATTTTTCATCACTAAATAGCCTAGCCGCATCTCATCTGGAAGACCTGGAACAAATCACAGATTACACTATTAGGGCAGACTTTCGATCGAGATCATAGATATCGAGAATTATCAACTAAATATTGATCAATTATTGTTAAATATCGGAGGATTAAAAAAGACCAACAAGTCTGAAAGAAAGGAATATACAGGAGTGGATCCAGGATTGCAGAGAACACGGAGGTGGGGCTGCACATATATACCGGTAATGAAGTCCAAAGGTTACGGGGAAATGCTTCTCAGGGAAACCTTTTGGGGGAGAAGGGGGACAGTGCACTCCTGCACCCTCCTTCTGGATCCGGCCCTGATATATTTCACACCACTAGTGAGGGGCGACAGGTTTATGCATGCGTTACTAACAAAAAAGCTTCCTGAACATGATTTAGCAACATCCCATGAATAAACAACTTTGTGTAATGTGTGATTAAATCAAAACTTAATTCTATCAAATGGTTTTCATGTACGATAGTATAGATGGCACTATTTTTATATTGTTAATCATTCATAACATTTCCTATCTTATTTTCGATTATTGATCTTATAGTCTGCCCTATACACTATTGAAACCATGGAGTTCTTTAACACGCTACACTGATACACTTAGACAAAATAATGATTAGCAGAGGTGTACCTACAAACTCATTCACTAGTTTTACCATCATTTGCATTTGCTGGGTCGCTAGTCCACAAGCCCTGTTTTCATTTTTCTTCCTTTTTGTGTGATAACTTACAACTATTTCCTCTGTGCATACACTGAACTGAAGTGATAGGGATCATCAATTTTGTGTTAGTGAGTTGGGGAAGGAAAGCCTCAAGTGAAACAGGTCTGATACCATTATGGTGAAACTCTGAAGCACGGGTATGGTGAAACCCTGAAGCATGGGTATGGTGAAACCCTGAAGCATGTTTATGGTGAAACCCTGAAGCATTCGTATGGTGAAACCCTGAAGCATGGGTATGGTGAAACCCTGAAGCATGAGTATGGTGAAACCCTGAAGCATGGGTATGGTGAAACCCTGAAGCATGGATATGGTGAAACCCTGAAGCATTCGTATGGTGAAACCCTGAAGCATTCGTATGGTGAAACCAAGAAGCATGGGTATGGTGAAACCCTGAAGCATGGATATGGTGAAACCCTGAAGCATTCGTATGGTGAAACCCTGAAGCATGGGTATGGTGAAACCCTGAAGCATGTTTATGGTGAAACCCTGAAGCATTTGTATGGTGAAACCAAGAAGCATGGGTATGGTGAAACCAAGAAGCATGGGTATGGTGAAACCAGAAGTGAGTGAGTAAGTGAGTGAGTTTGGTTTTTTATCCCACTTGTAGCAATATGCCAGAATATCATGGCAGGGGACACCAGAAATGGGCTTCACACATTGTACTCCTGTGGTGAATCGAACCGGTATCTTTGGCGTGATAAGCAAACGCTTTAACCACTAGGCTACGTCCGGTGAAACCAGAAGCACAGGTATGGTCTACAATGATAAAGTATAGCATAAAAGATGTTACCTGTGATGAAGCAGAGCTCAGGCACCAGGTAGATGGGTCCAGTCTGTCCACGCCTCCGATCCCGGCCAGTTGGTCTGGACATCAGGAGTGGTTGGGCCTGATCTACTATGGTGATCTGGTAGTGCTGGATCAACAACAGAAGTTGTTACCAAGAGTAAACATGTAAAGCATAATGATAATAACAACAATAAGACCACACATATATCGGTGAACATCATGTTGCACAGGCACACTCTAAACACATACAACATACTGGACATTATTACCCCGGATAACCCAAGCTGTCTGTCAGGTGTTAGAGGGTTAGTAGTCATATGACTTATCCCACCGGGTACTAGTGCTGGTATTGGCATACAAACTGCGATACAATACATCACGATACTAAACTTTTAGTTACAACGATATATTGCCGAAGTATTGTGCACTTAAGCTGCGATACGATACGAATCCCGATATAAAGGTGGCGATACGATATGTATCATGATTCTAAAACCTTTAATTCTAACACTAACTATGAAACCCCTTTAGATAAAAAACAATGGTTAAAATAATGAAAGAAACTTTAATTTAAAAAAAAAGTACATCAGGTCCTACTTTTTAAAACAAGTACAAAATACATAAAACAAAATACTGTTATAAACAGACAACATAGATCAAAAACATCTTTAATATCTGCGTGTTGCTGGGTGCTGTCACTGCAGTCACATAACAGAATGAAATTTGTGCTGATTTTAAAAATGGTATATCTTGACAGATATCACAATTCAGCAATATTCAAAGTTAAACATCGATGTATCGTGGCCCATTTGACGTAAAACATTGTATCGATTCACTGTACTGATGCATCGATTCATATCGTCGAATCGTCACACCACTACTGGGTACCCATTTCCTGCTGGGTTAACAGAGGCATAAACAACTAAACCCCATCTGATATTGTTAGTTCTGTGAATAGAAGTAAGGATAGGTAACACCGATCTGTATCACATTGGCCAGTTGCAAACTTGCAGTGGCAACTAAACATTCATTACAGACAAAATGCAATAAAAATCATGTACATGCTAAAATAGTTTTTCCAAAGATTTTTATAACCTGAAATTCAGAGTCATGCCAGCATTTTATCTAATATGAAAGAAAAGTATAATGCTTTATGGATAACAACTTCTTTATTTATTATGATGCGATGTTTCGTATAGCTTCTTATACCGTTGTCAAACACGAGTGCTTGACAACGGTACCTGACAATGGTATAAGAAGCTATAGTATTACACTAAAGCATTATACTTTTCTATTATCCATTAACTTCTAAAATCTTCTAAGCATCAAAGATATTCATTTCAATATTCAGGTCCAATCCAAGCATCAAAGATATTTTATTTCAATATTCAGGTCCAGTCCTGAGTTTTCACTGCGTATTAATACGTTTTGTGATAAGTACTCTTTTTCTCTCAATCCCAAATTAAAAGAATTCACAGAAAATGTATTAAAAGGATCCATCGACAAATGTACCGATTTTAAAACAGCAGCTTGATTTACATTATAAGTTGTGATCATTCTGCTAACGAGGCAAGTTCGGTTATCGTTTATTATTTGTTGATTTGGTTTTCAATGCCAGCAATATTCCAGCTATGTGGCAGCAGTCTTTAAATAATTAAGTCTGGACCAGACAATCCAGTGATCAACAGCATGAGCATCGATCTATGCAATTGGAATACGATGATGATGACGTGTCAAGTAAGCAAGTCTGACCCCCGGATCCTGTTAGTTGCCTCTTACGACAAGCATGGGTGACTGAAGACAAATCCTAACACGGATCTTAAAGGGTAGTTCAGTTATCAGAACTCAACAAAAAACAAGCACAAATCTAAAAACTTGTGCACTTTGATGTACAATAAGGAAGTCTTGTGGCCATGGCAACGGCATACCTGCTGGAAGTATTCCTGAAAGGTGATGGTGGTACCGTTGGTGAGTCTGAACGTGTCTGTCGGAGTGAGTGAGTCATTAACGTCATCCACCCTGTAGGTTCGATTGTTGTACCTGTGCACGAATATCACAATCTGATTTACATTTATATGAGTAGCCTGTAAAATTAACTGAATCACTGTCTTAATTTTCTGTCACTAATTACAAATTATGCCAAAACCTGCAGGAATAAAACTTTGCAAATTTATAATATGCAAAATGCACAATCTTCAGCATGCTTCAAGCACTAAATTATTTACCCACAAATGGATCAGTGTGCAGGTGAATTACATCGTATCTCCATTGGGAGTATACATGCATAAAGTTTGTTTATTTGTTGTCCGTTAGTCGCCTCTTACGACAAGCATGGGATGCTGAAAAACAAATTTTGAGTTCAGGTTACAAACTTCAATTGTTAGAAACTGGAGAGTACCTGGTGATGACAACACAGCCGATCAACGCACGTCTGACATCATCCATGTTGGTCTGTGTCATGTACTCTCTGTTGATAACGTCCAGACATGTGTCCGTCCGTATGACCTTGTGGGTTAGATCCACGTTCAGCAGTACCCGGTCCTCAAAGGGCAGGATGGAGGCAGCCACACCTGGGATTACCTGAAGTCTGCAAATTAAAGTTCAATTATACATGTCATTTTAATATGACAACAGGAGTGAGCGAGTTAGATTTTATGCCGCTTTTAGCAATATTCCAGAAATAACATGGCGGGGGACACCAGAAATGGGCTTCATACATTGTACCCATGTGGGGAATCGAACTCGGGTCTTAACCACTAGGCTATCCCACCACCCCCTAAGATAACAGGATGCCATTGTACAAAGAGATCTTTACTCTAAGGTGACTATATTCCAATATCTTAACATGGACTTCCTACAGTCGTAGCGCTAACGTTTTTTCATACCATACTGGAAAGGATATCTACACCTGATCAACAGCTGATGTTTGATCCATATCTGTAGCAAATATTTCCTAATTCATGAAATTAGTTTTAGGAAACAAGAATTTTAGAATTTGTAACTCACTTCTAACTTAGTAGTTGAATAAGTCATCCAAATATAATCGTCAACTATCGACTGCAAAAAACCACCACAATGAACAAGATGTTTGCTTACAGTCAGTGTTATATATAACTGCCAACTTACTTTTGTTACTGAGGCTATATAGGCAGACTGCAGATTGTCTCTAAACTGCAGAGAAGCGTGAAGATTCGGGTTATAACTGGTCCAGCAACCCATGCTTGGAGATGATCAGTGAGTTTGGTTTTACGCCACTTTTAGCAATATTCCAGCAATATCACGGTGGGGAACACCAGTAATGGGCTTCACACATTGTGCCCGTTGGGAATCAAAATCTTCAGTGTGACAAGTGAACACTTTAATAACTAGGCTACCCCTCCATCCCATAGAGAGGACTAAGGGGATCGGGTGGTCAGGCTGGGGGACTTTGTTGACACGTCATTGTATCCCGATTGCTTAAATTAATGCTCATTGTTGATGCAAGATTCATGTATTTTATTTACTGTGTGTACAATTTTCTAATGCAGATATTATTACATAATTTTCATAGGCATATTTCATGCATCATAAATGTCTTCCTAATCTGTACTGTCTCCGTAGGACAGTGCAGGTGTAACTTCATCAACACCGCCTCTGTGGTGTAGTGGTTAGAGCGTCCGCCCGGACACCAGAAGGTCACGGTTCGATCCCCGACCGTGTCATACCAAAAGACGTTAAAATATGGTACTTGTTGGTCCCTGCCTGGCGCTCGGCATTAATGGGTACAACAAGGACTGGTCGGCTCGGAGTCAGTATAATGTGTCTGAGTGGGGTATTCATGCTTCACTGGGGCATGGTATCTCAGTGGGCTAGCACTATAAAGCCAGCTTAAGTCTGGGCTAGTACAAGCAGCCACACATACACACTCATGCACGTCGTCATATGAGCGAAATATTCTCAAGCACGACGTTAAACTCACCTCACCTCACCTCACCTCACCTGTAACTTCATCATGTCAGTATCAGTTATTACCTCCCTTGATAGTAATCCAGCCATCTAGGGTTCAAGATCCGCTTTCCACAGAAACTTTTGCAGATTTCATAAGTTATGTTTCATATCCCATAGTACCACTTTCCCGTCATGTGACCCTAAAAAGCACATACGGTTCTTGGACCCATGCTTCAGTATGTTAGCAGCCTCCATACTGTCAAGAGGTCTCCTCTGACTTAAATTTCAAGGTAGCACCCAGGAACACAAATGTGAGTCTTGCATCTTTATTTCTTGTGCAAATATAATGTTTAATAGTCTGTTTAAAAGTTCATGGCCTCATAATGCTATTTTTACATGCAATATTGCTAAAAGTGTTCAAATAATGTTCCAACGTTTTCAACATTGTTAAACATGATTTTAGATGATAGTTTGTTAATGCATTATATTTATAGTCAAATTATATTACAAATTGTTTCTGTTTATTCTAGTTTTCTAAACCTCATCCACTCATCCACTTATCCTTTCACACAATGGCTAACGATCAACGTCGAACGTATATTCTACATTTGTCAATGTACATCAACGCTTACCGTATTATTGTTTCCCATCAAAAGAATAAAACCCTGTGGATGCGAGTTACTTGAAATTTGTCATTCTTGAGTCTACATTCATAATATTGATCACCGGACTGTCTGTTCCAGACTCAATTATTCAGAGATCGACAACAAATAGCTGGAATATTGCCAAGTGCAACATTAAACAACAAACAAACTGCAAAGCTCTTATGCTGTTAACCACATGCCAGCTGACTAGAATGGTTTCCTTCATGCATGCACAATACTTACATCGTACGTTGGTATCTCGTGATGTCGACACTACTCTCAAAGTCATAGTGGTGTCTCTGGACCTTTTCCATGCCGAGGTGCTTTAACAACCTGTGACAGAAAAAGCTGATCATGCAGCTCATCGTTCAGACACAAGAATAAAAATATATCATTATAGTTAATATTATCAATATTAAAACGGGACTTATCTAGTTCTGCAGCCCAAGGTCTGCAGCAAATTTCATGAAAAATTCATCACATATAGAGGTGAGTGGTCATGTACATTGAGCCCAGCATGGGTTGTATGGACATAGCGACCTTAGCGCTAAGGTGATCGTAACTCCTATACCATAACATAGACTTACAACGGGAGTAGCACTAAAGTTGCTTTGTACAACCTCAGGTCACAAATCAGTTGAAGTTAAGCAATGTTGGGTGCAGACAGCCCTTGGATGGGTGACCGTGTTTGACATCTTGACTCCTGAGTGTTTCTAGGACTTCAGTCCTGCCCCACAACGAAACACATATGATACATGTGGTCACCATAGGCAAGTGAGTTTGTTTATAAATTGCTTCTGTTCATCCAGCAGAAAATGGGTACCCAGTGGGATAAGTCATATTAGTATATTCAGTAACAAAACTTTAGCAACACCTAAATCTTGGCAATTGTAAACTCCAGAAATGTTAGTATGAAGTCAGTAATGTCTGGTAAGAACTGGCATGTCACATCGCACAAACACACCAACTTGGGTTGTACTAAACCCACATGCATCCTGTGGGCTACACTGCATGTGATTTAACGGAATATTGGGTCCCACTGTAATTCAATCGTTAAAATCATTTTGGAAACAATTGCACGTCAGAACTGCTTACTGTCAGATAGAAAAACACCACATCACAAGGTTGTACTAACACAATGGGGCGTCACAGGGGGATGCCAGAAAATGCCAGACATGAAGCCATTGGAATGCTGAGAGCCAGGATGAGTTTACGACAGGTTGCCAGACATTTTCAGGTCCACCATAGTACCATTTCACATCTCCAGTCACGCCAGGCACAATCTAGAACAGGGAAAGACCGCCCACGCAGTGGTTGCAGACCTCGTAAAAGGACGCCACGAGAAGATCGTTATCTTGTGACGTCATCACATCTCAACAGATATGCCAGTGCACCAGACCTTGCTCAAAGTCTTCGACAAACAACTGGAAAATGAGTGCATCCGCAGCTCACCCGTAATCGTCTCTGTTCTGCTGGGCTCCGTGCCCGTAGCCCCCTGAAGGCTATACCATTATGGTCACGTCATGTTAAAGAACGGTTAACATGGACGCGTGCCCATCAAAGATGGGGTCTTGCTCAGCGAATGAAGTCCCTTTCAGTGACGAATTGCGTTTCTGTCTGCAGTTTAGAGATAGCATAAGTCGTGTATGGCGACGTCGAGGAGAACGTTTTCAACCTGACAACGTCATGGAGCGTGACCGTTACGGGGGGGAAGTGTCATGGTTTGGGGAGGGATCCATTGGGATGGCAAAACTTACTGTGATAAACGACCACCTTATAGCTCGCCTGACTCAAAATCTGCCGCAGCACAACAACATTGACGTCTTAGCATGGCCAGCAAAGTCACCAGACCTTGCCCCAATCGAACATGCCTGGGACATTCTCGGAGAAGCTTGCAGAAGAAGCACCACATCCAGAATGTCAACGACCTTGGCAATGCCCTTTAGCTGGAATGGGGAGACATCACCCTTCATCAGGTTCGGCAGCTCATTATAAGCATGAGAAAACGTTGTGTGGCGGTACAGCAAGCTGAGGGCCGACACACTCGACACTGACCTCTTCTTGTTTGGGTGTGTGAATATCACTGACCCTCCCCTCTCACTTTGTAGTGCACCTGCTTTCCTTTTTGTAACGACGTCAAAACTGTTTGTTTCAGCTTTGTAATCGAAAATGGTCCAAGTAGAGTCTAAAATGATGCAGTGATTCTTATCCTCATTTCTTTCTGTTTATTAGACTGTTTCATTGGGTGTTGCTCAACTTTTGTTACTGAGTATATACAGTCAACTCTCGTTAATCAGACACTTGTGGTTGCAGAGAAATATGTCGGATTAATGAAAATGTCGGATTAATGAAAATGTCGGATTAACGAAAATGTCGGATTAATGAAAATGTCGGATTAATGTATTTGTGTGAAAATATCAATGTTTACTAAATGTCATGATCGTCATACTGTTGCATGCAGAAATGGTAGATCTAGTTATCTTCATCGTATGTAAAAATATTCCTGGTAACAAAAAATACTAACAATACATCCTTCTTGTCATTTATTAACATTGATAGATGGCATAACATACATATATAATCACATAAGCGAACAGTTTCATATCGTATGTATTAACCTTCTAGTGCCTCACAGGCAGCATACATTACCCTGGGTAGTAATGGCCATTTTGTTGTTTGTGTTCACAGCATATAAGTAGCTTTGCTATTGAAAGCATTACAGCCTCTTCCTCAGTATGGGTCGAGTAAGAAGTGAATAAAATTTCAGCTATGACATTAGATATAACTAAAACAAATAAAAAACAATAATTTTTTGCTAAAAATGTGTGCTCAGTCTTCTCTACAAAATATGTCATGCTTACACAGTTTTCCTTGTATTGTTTGTGTTAAAACCAGACCAATGTTATTTCTTGTTTTACAGATTTTTGTCCTCACAAAACCTAAAGGCAGGAGGGAAAAAAATAAAAAATAAAAATCACCAGTCAAAGTAATATTTCTTTTAAATACTAAAAGTATTTTTTTTGGGGCAATTTATGAAGTGTATATGGGGGAAAATACAATCAAATTTTGTTGTTGTAAGTTTACATATTTGGCCGATAGAAACATGAAGATTTTATTTTCTGAGCATGGAAAATTATTAAAAAAAAAATCTTATTCTTGAAAAAATATGACCGGCGAATCCGTTAAACAAAAAATAAAATTGGTCTGGCCTAAGTTTCCAAAAATAAAATGGTAATTTTCTAAGTACAAATTATGAAATTTTTACTGACAATGGTTGCAGACAGGGACAAGATATTGCCCTGACCAGTTCTAATTAGATCCCAGAGATTCAAAAGATAAATCAGTTATAGTTAAACCTTGACTCTGAGGATAGTTTTAACTTTTAAACAATCAAAATGAAAAAGACAGAAAAGAATAGATATTGAAATACCTTATCGAGAAACAAAATGGTTGTTGAGTTACGATACAAAATCAGTGACAGCAGATGAGAGAAGGACCACATGCAGCATGCAGACAACTGAAATCATTACATGTAAGATTAAACAATCTTTGACCTGTGAAGATGCGAGTTGGAATTGGTCTTCAGTGAGTGAGTGAGGTTGGTTTTACGCTGCTTTTAGCAAAATTCCAGCAATATCACGGCAGGAGACACCAGAAATGGGCTTCACACATTGTACCTATGTAGGGAATAGAACCCAGATCTTCTGCGTGGCGAGCGAACGCTTTAACCACTGGGCTACCCCAGTGCCCCCGAATTGGTCTTTAACCCCTCTTGTTGTAAGAGACGATTCATGAAATCGGAAGGTCAGACTCGCTGATTTGGTTGACAAATGTCATCATATGCAAATTGTATAGATCGATGCTCATACTGTTGATCACTGGTTGGTTTGTTGTTTAATGCCGCACTCAGCAATATTCAAGCTATATGGCAGGGGTTGATCACTGGACTGTCTGGTTTAGACTCGATTATTTACAGACCGCTGCCATATAAGCAGAAATATTGTTTAGTGCGGCTTATAAACAATCAAGCATTTTTAAAAAGATGCCCCCATGGCTCATGTAGAACAAAGTGCGTTGACTATGATAAACATAACACAGAAATATATTTTAATTATTAACCAGGCAAAAATCTACATTAGATTTGAACAATTTAATTGTAAAAATTGGTCTTACAATTCAAAAATCCAGTTCTTACAAATCTGATGAAAAAGCGTCTAAGCAGGTCTCACTTGAAAGTAGTACCTCTCACAGTGTTACTAGGATGGGAGGATACCCACCACACAATAGGCGAGAGGCAACAGGTTCATTAGGGCCTGTTCAATTCTGGCAAAACTGGTTTTGGTTTCTGAACCTGGTTCTCCTGTTACTAACAAGTGTCTAGTTTTGGATACATGGTTTCAAAGTGAAACTAGTTTCTAGTTCTATAAACGAGTGGATGGTTTCACCATCCGGTTTCAAAATGGGGACAAAAATATGTCTCAGCTACTATATATGTGGAACAAATTCGATGACAGCTTTGCCGAAGGTAACATTTTTTGTCATTTTATCAGTGAATTAACAAATAACAAAGAGATGAGATGCTTTTGGAAGTAAATATTTGCGTATATGTAATTATACTATTACAAGTAATTATATGTATACAAGTTACATAAAATAGTCATGTTCAATAGACTTGGGTTTTAATAATATTTTCCTTGTTCTCAGTTGATTTTTATCATTATTTTGGTTACAGAAACTGCTGCTCTATTTTGCCACCAAGATCAGCTGAACTTGGCGTTTTTGTTTCCTCCATGTTTGTTGTGAGAGAACCGAAACTGCGAAACCTGCCTCAGAAATGGTTTTGAAGTTTCAGAACCCAGTTTTAGGTTTCGACATAATCCTGTGCATGGTTTTCCAAAACCGGTTTAGCTTAATCGAATAGGCCCTTAGTGTATTGAAAGGTGAATTAGCTGTGGCCTACCTTCTGAGGATGATGTTGAATACTTGGATGGCCTGTGGAGCATCGGGAGGCAGCTCGGACCTCAACGTGATGGTCAGCCTGATCTGGACACCGTCATACTGTCGTGTTGAATGTACCTCCGTCACCTACACCAACCAAAATGTTTTCATCAGAATGTAAGAAAACGGTTTCACTCATACAGTGATGTGCATGTGTTTGTGAGAAAGTGAGTTTACTTTTACGCCGCACTCAACAATATTCCAGCTATATGGCGGCGGTCTGTAAATAATCGAGTCTGGACCAGACAACCCAGTGATTAACAGCATGAGCATCGATCTACGGAATTGGGATACGGTTACATTTGTCGACCAAGTCAGCAAGCCTGACCACCTGATCCCGTTAGTTGCTTACAGCATGCGTTTGCGTGTTCAAGTAGCTTAAATAGTGTAGAAAGAGAACAGATTATTTTTACGACATGTATGCATTGATAACTGAATTTGCTGAAGTGATACAATGTAGCTGTCTGTGCATAATATATTCTTCAAAAAAAAGTAGGGGAACTTCATTTATTAAATTACAATCGAAATTCTTCTAAGATATATCAGAGTCAATCAATGTTGATAAGATACTATTTGTAATGAATGTTTTGAGAGTGCATCTTGAAAGATGATTAGTGTATGACGTGAAATCTGCATGTATTCGATTTTCATTATCCAACAAACAAACAAAAAAACTGGCGAGAAACAAACACTAACAACTGTGTGATGCAAGTTGATTGTATAAATTAATGGGCTACAGTGATTTAAGGACCTTCTTGAAAATGTCAAAATCAAGAATATATGTATATGGGGCTACTGCACAGTGCATGTGCATCCCATGTGTGGTGTTTAGGGGTGATCATGAAAAGAAATGGTGGTGCGTTCATAAGATGTCTGTCTTTGAAAAGTTTTTACATTCTCTACCAAAACCGAGAGTAAGTGTTTTCTCCTATACATAAAGTTATATCATAGCAACCTATTTGAATGTAATTCTTAAATATATGTGCTTAACATGTTTCCCATTCAGCTAGCGTAGGGGGATTGATCAAATCATCGGTCAGTCAATTCATTTCGAGAGATTAATTGATATTTATAAAAAATTAAATCAACTTTTGAAAGTATGTTTCGTATTGTTATTTTGTTAGATAACGACATAAACAACAGATTCAGTTCCCTGCTGTAACAATGTAAATCACATACTCGTGGGCGTGTCTCAAAAGGCAGTGTCCCGATGATCTCGATTGTAGTATTAATCAGTGCCTCTTCTGTTTGTACAATCATTGTGTCCTGTATTTTTTCCACATGAGTTTTGTGGTACGGTTTAAGATTACAATTGATTATCGATCGATTACCGAGCTCCCAATTATCAATCTGAATGTAGTGAACGATAACTAGACTAACGCTTAGTCTCTGAATATATATAATTTTGATAGTAACAAACAAGCCCATTTAAATTGAAAAGGAGCCCCAGGGAGACCAGAGATTCAGACCTGAACCTGGAGAAATCTAGACTTGCTTTATTTAGGGCTTTAGCAGCTTTTTGCAGATAGGGCTTGGCAGTAGGGAAAGTAATGTGGTTCAGGGACTGTGAGACAGACTAAGCGATAACCAGTGATACATTTAATGGACTAGAATGCGTCTCTTACCTCATTTGGTAAACGGCGTGGAAGGAACAACATGGTGCCGTTAAAAACATGCACTTCGCCGATAAGCTCTTGATGAACATACAACAGCGCCGTTCTGACCCTCTTGGACTCACAGGGAGGGTTGTATTCAACGTGGTACTGGTACAGGGGGATGCTGCGTACGAAGTTCACGCTGAAGTAGTTGGTTATCAGATTTACGTTCCCGCCATAATTAATGACTTGCCCTGAAGATTTATGAAAAATTCATATATACTGCAGTGTACAGTGCTTTCACATGTCTACAGAAAACACATCGCTTTACCGATTCCACACCAGTATTTAACAATATCAGAGTGAGTGAATGGGTTTTAGTTTTATGCCGCACTCAGCAATATTCCAGCTCAACGGCTCCGGTCTGTAAATAATCGAGTCTGGACCAGACAATCCGGTGATCAACACCATGAGCATCGATCTACGCGACTGGGATACGATGACATGAGTCAACCAAGTCAGCGAGCCTGACCACCCGATACCGTTAGTCACCTTGTACGACAAGCATTGGATACAGAAGATCGATTCTAACCCAGATCTTCACGGGTGCAACAATATCAGAATGATACAGGTGTACTGGTGAGTTATGTTCTGTAACAAAGTCCTAGCATAAGAAAGCCAAATGGTGCCACTTTTGTAGCATAAACTTCTTTTAAAGATTGAAATGGTTTATTCAATAATTATCTCACTATTTCAATTTTCTTTATAAATCGAAATTACAAGTATTTTCTCATTACTTAGTTATATTGACATTATTTAAAATTTTCCAGTTTTAAAAAAAATCTTGAAATAACAAGAAAATAATTAGTAGTTACTTCATTCTAATATGAGAGCTTGGTCCAAATACACCACGGCCTGGTAGCTAGTGATTGGTTGATGAATTGTCAAGGACATGGCCCAAGACGAAAATTCAACGCCCAATCAACAGTGACCAGGCCGTGGTGTATTTAGACAAGCTCGAGTGATTGGATGAAGTGACTGCTTTGTATCACGCCCACATTCTGCATTCAAATTTCAAAATCTGCACAGGATATTTGAACTTAAAATCATTCTGTTTGAGACTGCTTCCGATCTAGTCGTGAGTGGGATAATACTAAAGATAACATTACACTGTCACAAATAGTGTTAAAAAATTAAGTACTTCATGACTGATTCAAACATTTAATGATGTGTTTGTCACGTGTTTCCGACAAAGTTGTCATTATTTTCATTAAAAGAGTAAAACAAATGTTGGTTGTGTTTTTAGAAGGTTTACATCTATCTGAGACTGGCAGTTATGTTTGTTAAACATAGGCATGGCTAAAATTGTTGAATTTTTTTAAAATTATGAGTTAAGAAATAACTTAAATATCAAGAAAAAATCAAGTGACAGGAAAATATTCATTTCCAAAATACATTATAACATGAAAAAAAAACAATTATTGAAATTACGAAAAACACCCTGAAATAATGAAAATATTTTAGGCCAGACCAATTATACTTCTTGTTTTACGGATCCGCCTGTCATATTTTTTCAAGAATAAAAATTAAAAATTAATTAATTTTCCCCGCTCAAAAAATATAATGCTGTTTTTATTGGCCCCAAATGTAAACTTACAAAAAAAGTCTTTTTTTGTTTAGATTGTGTTTTTGTCCCATATACGCTTCATAAATTGCCAAAAGTAAAATACCTTGAGTATATAGAAGGAATATTACTTTGACTGGTGATTACTATTTTCCCCCTTGTGCTTACGGTTTTCTGAGGACAAAAATCCATGAAACAAGAAATAAGATTGGTCTGGCCTTAATGAGAAAAAACTGAGTTTTGAAAGCAAATTTGATAAAAGATAAATTTCAGTTCAAAGAAGAATTTATGCCACAACATGGACACCATTAGGATTTTGAACTTGCATGCTTGTTGAAAACAAGACAATGTCAAACTTACCCCTTCTTTCAAGATGGTGACCCTGTCCCCTCAGGTGTTCTAAGTAGAGATTTCTCCTCTGTCTTCGGCCTAGTTCCTGAGCCTCCCTATGTCTTCTCTCTTGTTCCTGGGCCTCCCTCTGTCTTCGCTCTTCGTCCCAAGCCTCCTCTTCACCCTGAGCCAAAACCTCCTCTTCATCCTGAGCCAAAACCTCCTCTTCATCCTGAGCCAAAACCTCCTCCCAATCCTGAGCCCAAAACTCCTCTCCTTCCTGAGCCCAAACCTCCTCTTCATCCTGAGCCAGAACCTCATCTTCATCCTGAGCCAGAACCTCCTCTTCATCCTGAGCCAGAACCTCATCTTCATCCTGAGCCCAAACCTCCTCTTCATCCTGAGCCAGAACCTCATCTTCATCCTGAGCCCAAACGTCCTCTTCATCCTGAGCCCAAACCTCCTCTCCAACCTGCCCAGTACCAGCATGTCCAGCCATAGTGGGTGGGCCAGGCCCACTTTGTCCCTTTACACTTGCTTGGGGTTGAAGTGGACCTTCGGGGACGTCCACCATGGCTTCACCTTGTGACAGTGCCCCTTTATGTGTTCCTTCGTGAGGCTTTGCCCAAGCTCCACCTTGTAATTGTGTCCCTGTCTGAGTTTCAGCAAGAGGTTGTGCACAAGCTCCACCTTGCAACTGTTCCCCTGCCTGTTTTCCATCAAGAGGTTGTGCCCAAGCTCCACCTTGTAAATGTGCCCGTGTCTGAGTTCCTTTTCGAGGTAGTACACAACCTTGCTCTCCACTTTGCGGTGTTGCCTCTGAATGTGTTTCATCTTGAGCCTGTGCCCAAACTGTTCTTCCCCCTGTGGACTTTGTTTCTGTCTGTGTTCGAGTCCCGGTTTGTGCCCAGGCTCCAGCATGTAAATCTGCCCCTGCCTGTGTCAATTCTTGAGGCAGTGCCCAATCTGGTACTCCACCTGGCTGTGGCGTCTTGGCCAGTGATGGATATTGAGCTTGTGCCCAGACTGTTGTTCCCCTTCGTGTCTTTGGCCTTGCCACTGTTCCAGCATCAGTTTGTGCCTGAGCTCCATCTCCAGACTGTGCCCCTGCCTGAGTTTCACCTCCATACTGTGCCCCTGCCTGGATTTCATCTCTAGGTGGTACCCCTGCATCAGATTCTCCCACCGTTTGCATCATAGGTCGCGGTTCAGTCCGATTTTGCTCCTCATGCACATAAACAACCTCCTCCCCTATCCCAGGTCCTGCTCCCATTCCTGCCGTCTCTTGTACAGGAACATGAATAAGTGGTGACATACTCTGAGGCATATCCAGAGGCATATCTTGTTGCATACCTCCTGCCATACCTGGTGGATTATCATGCGGCATATCCAGAGGCATATCATGTTGTATACCTCCTGCCATACCTGATGGATTATCCTGTGGGACCTCCAGAGGCATATCTTGTTGCATACCTCCTGCCATACCTGATGGATTATCCTGTGGCACATCCAGAGGCATATCATGTTGTATACCTCCTGCCATACCTGTTGGATTATCCTGTGGCATATCCAGAGGCATATCGTGTTGCATACCTCCTGCCATACCTGGTGGATTATCCTGTGGTACATCCTGTGGCATATCTTGTTGCATACCTCCTGCCATACCTGGTGGATTATCCTGCGGCATATCCCCTGGCATATCCAGAGGCATATCCTGACCGGGCTGTGACCAGATCCTGCCTTGACTGGGCATGATGCTTCTCACTGTCTATCCAGTAACCTGAAAAATAGCAGTATATAATCGAGTCTGGACCAGACAATCCAATGATTCACATCATAAGCATTGATCTACACAACTGGGATATGACTACATGTGTCAACCAAATGAAGAGTCTTACCAACCGATATCATTAGTCGCCTTTTATGACAATCATTAGTTGCTGAAGACAAATTCTAACAAGGGTCTTCATGGGTTCTGTTTTAAAACCCTGCTTATAGAATACATAAGACGATATTCCTACAGTGATATTCTGTGATAATTATAATGGACTATCATCCAATAGATCTTCACCTGACCAGATCTAGTTGTGTTCATTTGTTCATTTAGAAATTTGATATTATTGACATACTAGAATAAATTGTCTGCTTATAATATAACTAGCATATCATTTAATGGGGTGGGGATGGGGGTCAGGGGTGGGGGTTTCCACCCATTTTGTTCTGGGGAGGAGGGTGTCATCATTTTTTGCTAGCGGGGATCAGCACTTTCTACATTAAAATAATAAAGAATCAAGCTTAAAATTATCGGAAAGGGGGGGGCAGGGGTCATTGATTTTGCACATGACATGCAGGGGGGACACTTACTTTGTACAATAATCTTAGGAGGTCATTCACACTGAACATGCTTTTCCATTTAAAAAAAACATCACTCACTCACTCTCTCTCTCACACACACACACACACATAGACTAAGGCTTAGTCTCTGAATATATATAATTTTGATAGTAACAAACAAGCCCATTTATATTGAAAAGGAGGGAGACTAGGGGAATCTAGACTTGCTTCATTTAGGGCTTTAGCACTGCAGAGAGAGCTTGGCAGTAGGGAAAATAATGTGGTTCAGGGACTGTGGGACAGACTAACACACAAACAAATAAACAAACAATGCCGTAAGTTATACATGTACGGTCAGGCAGGTCAGAAAGTTGATTTTCTTTGAACAAATGGGCTTGAATATCCCATCGTACTTATCATTGACAAGACAAATGACATTTGTATTTGAAACGTTGTAGCAGCTAGGGAGACAACGTTGTAGATTATCCCTGGTTGTAAATATAACGAGCATGGCAATTTGGCACAATGCCCATCTGTCAGCAAGACGAACGTCTCCGAGCGTCACATGACTGAGCAGAAAATGTCTAACGGGCAGGCAAGAATATTCAGTATTGCTATTGATCGTCCCTTCAACCCCAATGTGATCTGCTACGCATAAAAACAACCTAATTTGTATACTCACATCAGTGAATATTCCGAAAACGAGACGCTTTCTGTCCTTATAAAATCCTCCACAGTTACAAATAGCTCTTGATCTCTGTTCGGCCACAAAGGCTTTTAAACTTGCAGTCGCCATTACTCAACATATCCCAGTTTCATCTGTCATAACAAAGCGCAGCGACGATATTGTGATAACACATTCGCCTCTTAGGCTCTTCCCTCTTTGCCTTGCCTTCGATGGAGCACGGTTGACCGTGTAATCGATTTAGGTCAAAACGTAGCCGAGGATTTTGGTGAAAGCGGATCTGGGGATTTTATGAAAACGGACAAAATTTTCTAATCAAACTTAGCAGTCATCGCAACTGTCGAGTGAATATACAATACTATTTAAACTGTAAGTTTCATGTATTATTCCGTCATTTTGTCATGTAATAATCAATATTCACTTATTTTGACACTAGACCAATCGTTTCTTTTCGATAGCCACATTTATATATTACTGTAGTGTTTGACACAGAGAATCCCACCCTCGTGTCTTTTGATATCAAATATATCACCACAAGTTGATAAGAGTGAAAAAACTCCGAGGCTTGCTGGGTAGTTTTTTCACTATTATCAACGAGTGGTGATATATTTGATATCAAAAGACACGAGGGTACAACGTGAGATTTTATTTATCAACCCGTGAAGGTCCGGGTTAGAATGAACCTTCAGTAACCAATGCTTGTCGTAAGAGGCTACTAACGGGATCGGGTGGTCAGGCTCGCTGACTTGGCTGACACGTGTCATCGGTTCCCAATTGCGCAGATCGATGCTCATGCTGTTGATCACTGGATTGTCTGGTCCAGACTCGAGTATTTACAGACCGCCGCCACATAGCTGGAATATTGCTGAGTGCTGCGTAAAACTAAACTCACTCACTCTAAAACCCAAAGACCAAATCCAATATCATTCTTCATTACTTTGCAATGAAAAATGTACATATCTCTGAACACGGTGCTGCCATTCAGTGCCGTCGCATTGTGACGTCATCAAGGTTATGATGTCATAGCATTGTGATGTCATGGCATTGTGAGTCATGCAATTGATGACATCAGGGTGCCGTTGTACAAGCGACCTTAGCGCTAAGGTGACCGTAACTTAAGGTAGCCTTAGTGCTAAGGTTGTTTTGTACAACGGCACCCAGGGCTTTGTACAAAATCTACTGTCAAAATGATCTACTTGGAGAAATCGCTTGATCTCACCCAAGCCATATCTACCGTGGAAACCAGTATTGGATAGTAAATAGAGAATACCACACGAGGTCTCATTAATGCATGTAAGACGTAGGTAATAAATAAAATACCACACTCGGTCTCATTACATACGAATTATACGAAACGAGTGTCCTTCCTATGGTATCTGACCAAGCGAAAGTGTGGTATTTTATTTATTACCCACGTCTTACATGCATTAAATTGACAAAATAGCGTATTTTTGTTATGTTTTTGGTTTCAAACCGAAACCGGTTTCATAAAGAGGTTGCGGAAGAGTTTTGTACTGTAGTACAATATTTGCATGACGTCACACTGTAATGACGTCACTGCCTTGGTAACCGACGTCACGATGCATGTCAGTTGTCATCGCCTCGTACAGCCTCCTATAGTAAACTACTCCGTAGCACCTCGTTTCTTGGTTTCCAGTTGCTTCATTCGGCTAACATCAGTGGTGGAAACATTGTGTTTATGTTTTTCGACGGATATAATGTCTCAGTTCTACTCACAATTAAACAGCGACACGGCAATGTTCGCAATGTTTACATTCCCACAATGCATGTAAGTTGTAGAATGAATGAATTCGCGTGTTTGTTATGAATGAAAAAATAGTTAATAGTTATCCAATCAAATCGTTAGAATCTCAGGTCAAGGCGTTACGACACAGGTCAACGCGATACGACACTCGTGTGACGTACGAGATTAGTATGCAACTAACCATACGTTGACCACGTGGGTAATAAAGTAATTTATCTCATCTTACTCACTAAATTTGAACCGCCTCCATGGTGTAGTGGTTAGAGCGTCCGCCCGGAGAGCGGAAGGTCGCGGGTTCCATCCCCGACCGCGTCATACCAAAAGACGTTAAAATATGGTACTTGTTGGTCCCTGCCTGGCGCTCGGCATTAATGGATACAACAAGAACTGGTCGGCTCGGAGTCAGTATAATGTGTCTGAGTGGGGTATTCACCCCCCTTTTGTTAAATGACCATTGAAACTCGGGTGAAAATGAAGTGTGCATCCCTCCTTTTCTCAATAGAGTGCACACACACACACACACACACACAAACACCCCACCCTTTTCTCAAAAAGCTGTATCCGCCCCTGTACGTCTTCTATTCTCCCTGAACGAATGAAACAGAGCCCAATGACTACAATTACAACACAGAACACGAAACACACTATACATCTCAATGGGCGTCTTTTAGTCGCAGAATCAGTTGGCGCCTCGCCATCAGCTGCTGCTGAAGAACAAACAGGATGGTATTTGAATTCCGTCTGGAGTGTGTGCGAGAATTTACTGACGTTGCTGAGGTTACTTCAGTAACGGAACTGTTTTGCGAAAAGAGTTTATACTTTGCAACCCCTTATTTTGACCTCTTCTCGTCTTGGGTGACACAGGGTCATTTCTCATGACGTTTCTGTGAAGATTTCGAGCATACGCCTGCTACACCGCTTCTTGTCTTGGGTGACACAGGGTCATTTCTCATGACGTTTCTGTGAAGATTTCGAGCATACGCCTGCTACACCTCTGATTGTGGTATAACATGTTTTGGACTATAGTCTGTTTGCAGTGAAAACGTACCGATGAATTTAAATTTAAACAAAAAAGTAACTCGGATAATGTGGCATTACGATTGCGAATCCTATTGGTAACACTATTGTAAAATATTCGTTTTTGTTTGAAATATATGCAACTCAATGTTTTAAAAACTTTCATAACTATGAAAAAACACATCAGGTCGTTGAAATGTCATTATTACGTTCTTTAAGATCCGATACGTTCTGTTAGAAATGGCACATTGTTTATTCAAATTGTCAATATGGAAATCCATTTGTCCTTCCATGATGGTCGGCAGAGGATGTTTCGTCGCAATGGAGAGCGAATCACAGGTGCAACTGTAGCCACTCGTAATCGATTTGGCGGGGGATCGGTCGTGGTTTGGGCAGGGATAATTCCGACTGGACGTCCTCCACTGCACGTGGTCGGCGGTAATCTTACAGGACAGGGTTATCGGGACAAGACTCTGGCACCTATAGCAGTACCATTCCTGCAAGCAATGTATGGCTTTTATGGCCGACCCCCCTTACTGCAAGACGACAACGCAAGGCCTCATATGGCCAGGTATTGTCACGGACTTTCTTAGGCAGCAGTGTGTAGAGAGGATAGAGTGGCCGGCATGCTCGCCACACCTCAACCCAATTGAGCATGCCTGGGAAGTACTCGGACAGGACATACGTGTGTAAAGGACTCCGCACAGCCCTAGTAGAGTAATGGAATGCGATTCCTCAAGCTTTTTTATTAACATGGTAAGAAGCATGAGAACAAGGTGCACCTGTGTCTTGGACGCACGAGCAGGATACACAAGATATTGAAGGACCGAGTGCTTCATGTTTGTCATATTCATTTTGGGGGGTTGGTCTATAAAACTGATGTTTGCTAACGCTGTTTGAACATTTTGTCTGTATGTCACGATATGTCACGTTTGTCAACATATTAAACATTGTGATGACACTCTTAGTTTTATTATTTCTGAGAAACTTTTCTTTTCAATTGCTATATATCATTTGACACTTTAGTAATGACGCCCAGTAAACACTGATTTTCCTGGGTCCTCTTTTCATTGCAAAGGCAAAGCCACTGTCCTAAAAAATTCAAAGGTATGTCATTATAGTGTCTCGCTTTCACGTTTTGATAAAAAAGCCTAATATTTAATGTAAAATAGAATACAGTTGGGTAGAGATAAAGAGAGGCATTAATTTAGCCAGTACGTATCAATTTACTATTGTGTGACTAGTAGACCAACGCTTAGTCTCTGAATATATATAATTTTGATAGTAACAAATAAACCGCTTTAAATTGTAAAGGAGTCCCCGGGAGACCAGAGATTCAGAACTGAACCTGGGGAAATCTAGAAGTGATTTATTTAGAGCTTTAGCATTGCAGGGAGGGCTAGGCAGTAAGGAAAATAATGTGGTTCAGGGACTGTGAGACAAACTATGTGACTAGAGGAAAACACTTACAGTGGTGAGTGAGTGAGTATGGTTTTTACGCCGCTTTTAGCAATATTCCAGCAACATCACGGCGGGGGACACCAGAAATGGGCTTCACACAGTGTGCCCATGTGGGGATTCGAACCTGCGTCTTCGGCGTGACGAGCCAACGCTTTAACCATTAGGCTACCCCACCGCCCCTCACCAATATCAAGGCGGGGGACACCAGAAATGAACTTCACACATTGACCCATGGAAGGAATCGAACCCGGGTCTTTAGCGTGACGACAGCAACGACACCTGCAACAACAGAACAAACTGAAACAGCGGTGGAGCAAACATCGCATCTGGAGGAGGACAAAACTACTACGTCCAACCCTGAACCCCGTCATATTCCAGTCATATTCCAGCCATATCAACGACAACAGTGTGCAGCCACTACAAGACAACGGGAACACCATAAGCTTCGTATACGACAACTACGACGCTGACCTCCCCTCAATGGATCCAGGACATACAGACAACACAGATTCCTGGAACCAAGTTGATCGTCACCCATCACGGAAACGGGACACAAGCATCGTAGAGAAGATTGATAATAAGGTCAAACACAATACTACACATCCTATCAGATTACTCTCTAAACGATATCATGCTCTTCAAGGTGTCCCAGAGTCACAACTAAACGTCTTGTGCTGTATAACATTAGTGCTGAGGAGTCGTTCGATTCAGTAAAGGAACTCATTCATGAATATACTCATGATCAAAGTGTGCGTGTGATCTTTGTCAGCCTGATGAAGAAAAATGTTCCTTCCAACTATCGAGATACCTACACTGTACAAGTAAATCTCGACCTTGACGATTATGAGGACTATGTTTCTGGTGGTAATAGAGGCTTTTGGCCACCTGGAATCCGGGTGAGAGACTATGTTCCTAGAAACAGGTCACATAATGAGTGTGTGTGTGTTTACTTTTACGCCGCTT